AGAGACAATCAGCCAATCATCAAGGTAAGGGTAGATATGGATGCCTTAAAGCCTCAAATGGGCACAGACAGGAGCCATACATTTGGTGAAGACCCATGGAGCAGTAGTGAGGCCGAAAGGGAGAACATTATACTCAGAAATGTTGGTACTGACAGTGAATCGGAGTAGCTGCCTATGAGCAGGGTGAATACTGATCTGGAAGTATGCATCCTTCAAGTCCAGAGATGCGAACCAATCCTCTCTCCTGAGCAGCAGAAGGATATTTTGGCGGGTGGTCATCCAAATTTTTTTTGTCTTGCTGAACTGATTCACGTCACATAAGTCCAATGTGACCACCATCTTATTTTGGGACCGTGAAATATCTCAAGTAGAAGCTGTGGAGCCCCTCGGAGCGAGTGTGTTATTGAATCGCTCCTTTACGAAGCAGTTGGGAAACTTTGTCTTGAAGGACCAAAGAAGGAGACGTGTAACGGATTGATCCCGATGGGGGCACAGTGTCAAACTTGATTTTATATCTGTGCCCCACAATGGAAAGTACCCACTTGTCAGATGTGATGGACTCCCAAATGAGGAGTCGTCCTTGCAGCGGTCCCCAAAAGGGAGAGGGGAAGGTGGGTAGAGGGAGAGAAGAAAGGTTCGCGCATCCCATCAACACTGTCACTTGGTGTCAGGACGGCAACGGGCCTGTTGATAGCGGGGCGCTGGTTGCTTGCGGTTCCACTGCTGGCAAGGCTGAAATTGTTGACGGGAGGCATATTCATGGTATGGTTGGTATCTGTAGGAGTGAGACGGTGGCCACTTATGTTGGCTCTGAGTTGGGATCTCCATCCAGCAGGTGGTGACACGAGCTTTGTAGATGTTCTCTAGTTTGTGGCCAGTCCACGTATTGAAGAGTCTGGATCTGTCAAATGGTATACCCTCAATGCGTCTCTTTGTCTCACCAGGAAAATTACACTAGTGCAGCCACACATGCCAACGGAGAGGGATGGAACTGATCAGAGCCCTCAAGTCACAGTCGACGTGATGTCTTGCCATGCTCAATTGCTAAATGGCCAGCTGCATGGCTTCGCGAATGAATACATGAGCCAGGTCCCGTTGCTGCTCAGGCATAGTCAATGTAATGGACTCAAGCCTTTGCATAAGAAAATATTGATATCTGGCCATGGTTGCCTCGTAGTTTGAGATCTGCAGACCAAGGCCCATTGCAGCATAGATATGGTGAGACATCAAATCGATCTTGCGTCCCTCCTTGTCTCGGGGAGTGCTCCCTATTCTCCCAACCCTGTGACAACTCGATGACTATGGAGTTAGGCTTCTGATGTTTCAAGAGGAAGGGGATGCCTTGTTCCCTAACCTTGTACATTGATTCATAGCATCAAGAGGTCGGATGTGGCTGGTTCGGATATTTCCAGGTATCCGTCATGGCCTGCTGGAGAGTTGTAATTAGTGGCAGAGAGATGGCTGAGGACTGTTCCTTGCGGACGATATCATAGAAATTGTCCATGCTGGGATCGACTTGGTGCTGGACTTCGATCTCCAGGGATTTAGCCAGATGTGCAAAGGCTGAATAAGATTCCTCTGGAGAACCTGGACCCTGGGCTGAGATGACGGCATCAGGTGAGTTGGAAGCCTGCTCCGAGTCCTCCGAATCAGAGTCGTATTGATATGGGGGACTGGAGGATGAACTAGCCGGAGATGGTCTGAAGAGAGCAGCCGCTGATGTTGAAGGGGCGTCTCTCTGCATTGGGCGAGGACAATGATGATGCACAGAGGGCATTGGGTAGTACCCGTACGGTGGAAGATAATCCCATGGGTAAGACTGGGACGGGTCAAATCCACTGCAGGGCATCGGAACCCAATTCCTGGAGGGCTGGTCTGAAGCATGCTGATGGCGGCACGTGTCTGACTGAGGCTGAGCCCTTGGAGACGCCTCAGGTGAGGACGGCATTGGTGTCGGAGAATGTGCTGTTGGTTGACCAGTTTGAGATAGGGGGGTGGGGGGGGAAGTCCCAAATGGATCCATGAACCCCAGCCTCAGAATGGTCCAAAGTCTATGGAGCTGAGATGGAGTTCCTCTGAGGGGACCCTGGCAGGGTCACTTGCATCATGGCCTGGATGGTTGGGCTGGACAGGGTCAGGACCAAGACAGCAGACAGGACTGATGGAGCGGTCGAGCCCGAGTCCCTCCGTGGTTCTTTGGCAAGCTTCCTCAGCTTGCGGTCTGACTTGTTGGTCTTAGCCTTCTGGGGCTTCTTTGGAGCCAAGGGCTCATCAGACCCAGTATGCTTCCTCTTTTCCTTTTGTTTTTGAAAAGGAGAACAAGAGGAGCGGATAGACTCCATGAAAGTCATACCATCGGCCAATGGATGAGGAGGACACACTATGGATGCTGAAGTGGTCTGAGCTTCAAGCTGGTCAGATGCAAGCAAGGCCTGATCCCAGAGAATTTTCTGGAGACAATTTTCACAGTTTTCCCGGACTTCCTTGGTAAAGGATTGACAGTGGCCACATTTGTCACTACTATGCCCTTCCCCTAAGCCAGGGGTCTCAAACTCAACTGACCTGGGGGCCACTGGAAATAGAGTCTGGGTGAGGCTGGGCTGCATCAAGTACTCCACCCCCGCGGTGGTGGTGGTGGGCCGCTCATCCGGAAGGCCGCAGGGCCCCTCCCCCGTGCCCTGCCCATCCTGGCAATCGGCCCGTGGGCCATGAGTTTGAGACCCCTGCCCTAAGCAGAGAAGGCACAGATCATGAGGGTCTATGGGGGTCATTTGGGCCCCGCACTTGGAAGACTTCTGAAACACTGCTCACTGAGCCATTGAGAGGAAAAAGGATAGCAGAGCGAGAAGTAAAGAGTAACAATAGAAGGGTTTTTTGTGGGGGAAGGGGAAAAAAGGGGGAAGAAACATCCTAAAGTGTAGCTTGGAAATGAGTTTTCTTAACAAGAGAGAAAGAACGAGAAAGTTTAAGTAAGAATGGTAAGTATAGCAAAAATACAAGAGAATAAGGAACGGCTCAAGGCAAAGCAATCGGCGGTCGAAAGATGACTGGGGAAATGACGGGCACTCCGCTCTTTATACTACAGCCGGGAGTTCCCACCGAAACCGTTAAAGCTCTGAATCTTTCCTGGCTGCAGGCACCGCGCAGGCGCAGCACCCATAATGTGTGATGCACAGAGGCCACGAGGAAGACCTTCCAATTCCATCATAGTCTTGTCAAATTAGATGACTGCAGTTTAGTTTTGATTTTCTCTCGTCTTGCTGCTGCCTGCCTATTTAATAATCCCTTCAAAACTCTTTCAATCTATCACCCAGTTTTGCATACATCAGGGAAGCTAGCCATGTGTATGTTTAAGGTATTTTTTTATCTAGGATAATTTTACCTAGGATAATCTAGAACCAAGCCATGAATCAACTTGAGCTCCCTTTGAAATGTTTAAGTATTTCAAATCCCTTCATATGCCACATCACAATTTGCATTTGGTTGTACTGATGGTGCCCAACAGGTTTATTTCAATATTTAGACTATGTTTCTGTTTAAAATAAATTAGTATTAGGTAGCTCTGAATTTTATTGAGGCAGATGATTCTTTGTAACTGTTCTACCAAATCTTGAGTGTTGTGTGCTTAGGGAGCCAGAGTCTATATGTTGTAGTCTCAGTCACTCATACTTAATACTTTGTTTTCATTAAAAGTTCCTGGGTTAATGAAGCTGGAATAAATGAGCATCCTTGATGGTGCAGTTCTCCCAATTGTCCTCTAAGTGCTCATAAGCCTCCAAAGTCAGAGACTGAGAGGCATCCAGCACAGAACAGGAGAGGCAAGCTCCATCTCCTTATCTGCAACTCAGTTAAATGGTTTATTTGGGCCATCCAGCTGCAGTGTTTTGCTAGGGGAGAGAAGGCAGCTGGAGTGGCCTTAGGCTACCCCATTCTCTCCTCACCACTTCCCACTCCTAAAGTTGGTTCTGCAGCCTCAGCAAGGCAGCTGACTCCTTCTAAGCTAACTGTAAGGGACAAGAGAGGCTGAGCATGTAGTTACAAATTCTGCTTCCAACCTTGGATCTTGGAATCTGCAGTATCCTGTGGCTCTCTAGACACTGAGTAGCGGCCACAGGATTGCTGGAGCAGCACATTAAAACACTCATTCCAGTTGTAGCAAAGTTGGAAAGAAATTACTGCACCACTAGAACTGTGTACATTGGTAGATTTTTATATAATTATCATTAGAAGTCTACTTGCAGGAAGCAAAAGCAAGTGTAGCCAAACAGGTACCCTGGATTTTAGGAAAGCTAATTATAGTATCATCAGAACAGTGATAAATAAGGTCACATGACAGGTGACTGTAATGAGAAAAAGGGTGCAAAAGGGTGGATGGCAAAAAGCTAACAGTTGACCAAAGGGGGCAGAAGTGAATTCCTATTTTGGCTCCGTCTTCTCCCAAAAGAGGGTAAGATCTGGTAAAGGTGAAGTGCAAGCTGGAGGGGCAGGATTGCAGCTTGAGTTTGATAGGCAAAGGGTCAAGAAATGTCTCATTATTTTGAACAAATTCAAATCTTTAGGGCCTGATGAAACGCACCCTGGAGTAATTGGAGGCATTCAAGATGCAACTGGATACCTGTATGTTAGGAATGGTTTCATTTGCAGTCCTGCCCTGAGCAAGGGGTTGGACTAGGTAGCTTTAGTGGCCCCTTCCAACTCTACTATTCTATATTCTAAAATAAAACTGTGTGCAAAAACTGTGTGTCAGTATAAGAAGACATGATGTGCAATTTGCTGGGAATGGCAAAAAAGGGATGCTGCTGAAGCCCTTTTTTTCCTGCTTTACAGGAGGTTTCTTCTCAGCTGAAGAACATTTCACCTTTTACCTGGTGCATGTGTGTGCACATGTGTGCATGCATGCGCACGTATGTGTGCGCACACACAAAAGACCTTAATGAACTTAAGAGTATGCATTTAAGGAAAATATCACATCCTTCTACTTCAAGTATGAGAGACTGAAATGTATTATACAATTTATTTATCAAATATGTATAGAATTCAGGTTACAGCAACAAACTTTTCCATAGATTTCTATTACAAGATTGTATATGTGCACATCTTTGCGCTTTACTAGCACTCAAGTATAGAACCCATTTTGTTACGTGGTGATCTGGGATGTCACTTGCATTTCCTGTTTCTGTATTAATCAGTATCTCTCTCACTGATTTTCTAGTGCCCTCTGCTCCAAGGTTCATGATTTAAAAGGATTTTGGCACAAAGGTATTGTTGTTCACCTGACTCCCAGCTGATTTTCTTGAGGAAGAACTTTAGGCACACTGTACAAAACGCAACTGAATACCTGTGGAAAGAGTGCTGGGTTTTCTATGCTTTTGTTTTGCTGCTATGGGATGCCCACTGATGGGACAAAAAATAGCGATCACTTGCATAAGAGCCTGAACCAGGTTATTTGGCTATCTATTTTTTTTCCAGGGGCAGGTAAGACTCCTTCATATCTTCAGATGACCTTCTTCATAGAAGCAGAAGCAGGGGAAGGGGGGACTGTCTTAAAACATGCATTGACTGAAAATACCTGCAAAATTAATTTTCACATGAACATGGTCTGCAGAAAGATTCTGGTTTACCAGGTCAGCTTCTTCTACAGTTAACAAGTTTAGATATTTAGCAAAGACATGCAGATACAAGGAAGCCATTTAGAAATCCACATTCATTCTAGGCTGCTACGCTTTTTATAGAAAAATGCAGGAAGGATTTATAGACTACAAACAACAGACATACATCAGTTCCATACTAGCTGCAATGTTGTGCTTCTTTTCCTCTTGGGATTGCTTGCTAGCATAGGCAAACATTGCCAATTACCTGATCTTTCCCTCATACTGTAAGAATAGAGCAGAATATGTTGGGTTCCAAGCTTAATGGAGAGCAAATTAAGCAAAATCCTCTTTTATCTATTTTATCAAGCAACGTGAAAGGCAGGTTGCATTTAGGAAATGCACCTGAAAAGTTTTTAATAATGTCAGAATGTTTTATTTTAAAGTAGAATTAACCCATATATAGCAATCTATAATAAATTCATTTTTACCATTTACAGGATTTTGCTTAGTTCCAACAACTGAGCTAAACAATAAAAAATCCATAGAGAAAAGCTAATAGATTTGGAGAGAAAAGTCATGTTTTGAGCAACACACAGTTCCATACAAAGTCATCATGTGTCTTAAACTTAATCTGCTCAGAGTGTCTAGATATATCCTAGATATAAGAGGGCCATTCTATATATGGCACTCATATATAGAATGGCCCTCTTTCCCACATATGCCATGCTTAAGAGTTACACCATGCTGCCATTATCTGTGGTTAATTTTCAAACCATGCTGACCTTTTCCCCTGTACGTGCTGTTTTGCACGATAGTTACGTACATTAGCTTACTGGAAACACAAATCAGTTTGATCGTACAGCTCACTGCATGTCTGTCTGATTTGCAACTATTCTCTCCACCCTCGGGTGAGGCAATTTTTAGATCTGCATCTGAAGTTTCTACTTCAGTCATCACATGGAAGGAGAGAGGTACAAGTCACTTGTGCTTACTCTCACCTTCCTGCTTCTATTTCATCAAATAGCTATCAAGAGATTCAGTGTCTGTCTTCTCATTCTGCCAGAGCAGAAGTGGTTCATTCAGAAACATTACAGTTTAGAATTTCTCTTATGAGAAATGGTTTCTTTTCAAGCAATGCCAATCCTTGTGTCTACTGCAGCTTGAAAACTGGGCCATCTTAGGATGCCACACTAGCATTGGGAGTTGTGCATGTCACTTAATGCAGTAGATTTCTTGGACGTGCCTCAGTGAAAACTTTGCAATGGAAACTTACCAAGAACCAGAAGGAAATTGACTGATAATGCATTTTGTTTTATAAAACAGATTTTCCCAAAAGGTATGGCTCCAATCCAGTCACTTCAGCTGAGGTTGTATTTTAAATTTATGGAATTGCTCAAAGACATTCATGTTCAGAGCATGATGTAGAATACAGATGTAGAACAGAATACCAAACGTACTATCCTTTGCCTGCCAAATATATGCTCCCTATTTAATTTAAATAAATACATACTTTTAAAAAACACATAGATTTTACTCCTTTCTTAATATTTGCCTGAGTATTTTGCCTGAAAATATATTTTTTGTTTGTGCAACAGGAGGTGTCACTGCAATTCTACACTCCTGAATCTGAATATATATCACAAGTATTTTTTTCACAAAGCTTGTAACACTATTTTTCAGAGAGCTAGTATATATTCCATCAGTATTTGTATTTTTAATTTATAAATTAAGCTGAGCTCTCCATCAGAAACACATTGCACCTCTTGTTTCGGACCAGTATTTAACAAACATTTTGCTCTTCTGCTTAGAATCTAAGTGGTAGGATCTCAAATAATACCTGATAAAACAAAATTAAGTGATAGAACTTAAATATTTCACTGTCCCAGAGACGTCATATCAAAGATTGAAAATATAATGTACCTACTTGTGCAGCCCCCTATTGTTCATCACAGAAGGTTAGAGATTTGAACTTTCAAGACTGAACTTTGGTTTGCTCTTTCCTTTGCACTCTTTAAATTCATTACCTCTTTTCCAACACTTCATGCAAAGCCTCCCACTTCCCACCTTTAACCAGGTATCTGCCTCCTTTCACGCACCCCTTCCAGACATTCTTTTCACCATTATCTGCATCCCCAGTAAATGCATTTTGTGCTTTTCCTCCAGCCAAAGGTCATTCGTGCTGAACCGCTCAGTCTTCCTTCAGGACGCCCATTTTTGAGGAGGAGGTGCTCACTGGGCCTCCCAGTGCTCCAATCAAGACTGGCAGGCTGTTGTTTCTCCTCAGTCCACCCATCAGATTGCTGCCTGGACTTACATACACAGCCGAGTCCTGCCTTTGCAGGCTCCCCTTTGCCCCCACTTCTTTACTGTCCCCTGCTTCGGCATGCTTGACAGCTCTGGCGATACCCAGCTTCTTTAACCTTTCCACCAGGTTCATTTTCAGCTGCCTTACATCATTGATATTAGAGGATTTCTGTGCATACATCTCCTGCAGTAATGTTTCAGCTGGTCGAGAGGCCAAAAAACTTTCAGAAATACTTGCTCGTGAGTCAAAAGGCAAGGGGGAAGGACAGGGGGAATGCAAAGGAGAATTTGGTGGTGTTGAAGGAACAGCAAAAATCTTGCGAGGCTGAAACACTGGTGCTTTCTCCAAAACTGGACTGTTGTAGACCTTTGCTGAGATGCCCTGTTCTTGCAGAAGCTTAGCTAAGCTTCCTGTACTACTTAAAGTGGTAGTTGAGTTTCTTCTGGTAGTGAGGAATTCTCCAGTACTAAGCCTATGGGACACACAGCTTGTAACTACATGGCTTGTACTGCTAAAACTTCCAGAGCATACAGGGGCATATGAAGCACTGAAAAATAGAATGAGAGAGAGAGAATTGTTAATAATGTTCCTTATAAAATAAAAAAGAATAAAGCTTACAAGAATCAAGGGTCAAGGTTCTATGTTTTATATTTATGTTATACTCCTTCCAGCGCCAGGTAAAGTCCTTTTTATTCAACCATCATTTTAATAATCAAGGGTTTTAGATGTTTTAAGGTTTTTTTTTTCCTTCCTCACAGTCGCATTTTCTATTCCTTTCCTCCCTTCTCTTTTTCTTAGTTTATAATGTCCTGTTTTATATTGTTTTAATAATTGTGGTTTTATTACTGTATTCTATAGACATTATTGTAATTTTATATTGTGTAAGCCATCCTGAGTGCTTGTTGGAAGGACAGGATATAAATGTTTGTAATAAATGATAAATAAATAAATATATCAACAGCAAAACTTTGCGTTTTCTTTAAATGACAATATTCCATGTACTATATTCCGTTTTTCCTTCTCTGATCCCATCCCTTTACATATTTACATATGGCAAATGTAATCATAATTCACTAAGCACACATACACACTGCACTGACTAATCAGGTGCAAACTTCTAGCTAACTTGAATATAACGAATGAGTTAAATATACATTGGATTACACATAAAATTCCAAGAATACCTTCTTACCTGGGGGTAACCTGTGTGATATCAGATGGATGGAGGATCCTACAAGTAGTAAAAGTAAATGTAGAATTTGTTGATGAAAGACATTTTCCCGGATTAGAAGCTGCAATATAAATAAAAACACATCTTATGAAAAGGAAAATGGTGAACGAACTAGCAGGAGAAATATTTCAAAATCCTGTATCAGCAAGTGTAAGAACTGATTCTTCCAAAACAAATACATTTCAGTGGAAGAAAATATTTTATACATTATTTTAAAGTTATCTGCATAGTGGATCATGGTTCTTGCACATCAAATTATGGTGAGTTATGTATTCTGAACACCAAATTCTGTAACTTTAGACTAGGCTATCCTGACTGTTTACAGCTAGGGGGTGCATTAGATATACTTTTCCTGATTGCTTAATCATGGTGAGGTGATGGCCAGTGGACTCTATATAAACTCTTCCCCATGCAAATTCTACTGCTGGCATCAACCATGTTTAAAGATTATGCCAACATCTATCTTAACCATGACTAATGCTCGCCAATGTAGCCTTAACCAGGGTTATGAAGCCAGCTTGGAAACCTGCTCAGAGTTGGCCATGATTAAGTGTATCATTAACATGGCTAAATCACCACTAAGTCTAAAGAGAGGATGGTGAAAGGGACATAAATAGCCTAATTCCTACAAGCAGCAATACATGTACAGCAGTTGAGGCCATCACTATGGTCAACCTCATTGCACTAGCTACTAAGGCTGTACAACTCATCTGTGCAAGGCATTTCAACATAGGACTGATTATTTTTTCAGTAACATTTTTTCAAAATGAACAGAAAACTTATTTTCTTATCTATTTGAGAATATGTTTCATTACTGAAGAACTATGAAATTAAACCTGGATTTCACCCTAATTTCACTAAGGTTATGTGCTTTACAGAACTACGGAAAATGGCAGCTGCAGTTTCCAATATTCCTTGAGAATGTCTATCTTCTTGTGAAGGAATACAACAGGCTCTCACGACAGAAAAAAAAGTCTGCTAATATCTTTGGTATAGAGAAAGTACCAACTTTTCTCTGGTAAAGTACCAAAGTACCAGCAAAAATCTAAGAGCTATCACAGCATAGAAATTTAGTGAAAATCATATGATTATACACTTTTACCTGTGAGGGAAACTGTTGCTAATTTTGTGGGTGGCAGGAAGATCCCCATCTCTGACTTTGGCACTGTGGGTTTCTGTTCCTCCAGAGGGGAGTGCTGCACTTGGAAAGTTATGCCGTCATCACTTTCTTTCTCATCTTCTTCAAAATCAGAAAGGTGATAGACATCATCTTCAGACAGCGGTGTGAACCCTTTTGTGACAACACCAGGGCGTGGGTCTAGAATTGTGCCTAGGTTAGGCTGAGCCAACTGCTGCCAGTGGAACAGGGTCTGAGAACCTTGTGAAAAAGGAACATGCACAAATTTCAGATTGAATGGGATTTAGGCACCCCAAAAATTACCCACTGGAGACTGGAAGCTACCACGCAGGGTGGAAATGAAAAATGAAAAGATGTTAGAAGTGATAGGATATTATCGAAAAAAATTCACTCTGCACTTGAAAGCTGAGAAGTCACTCATCTTCCAAGCAGAAACCAAAGTTGCACAATAGGACTAACATTTGGTGAGTATTTATACAGCAATATTAGTGTGCAAAAAGTACATTCATTCCCACAAAAGCTTTGCATTTCTGTTTTGGTGAGCCCGAGGGCACGTCCAGACTGTAGTTTCCCATGTGGATTGTTCTGCATTGAACAGGAAGCAGGGATAGAAGGGAGAGTACTGCTAAAGGTTCGGCAGCAACAGGTAAGCCCTGGAAAAGACTGAAGTACCAAAAGATGCAGGGCTTGTACACAGTAGTAAATGACTACCATTTGGAAGAACAGCAGTCAGCAGTGGAAGATGTCTCAGTTCTGGTGGGGCAAGTTGGTGACAACCAGGCTTAATCAGCAAGCCTTCCTGATGGTGGGTGGGTGGAGGGAGAGGGGGGAGGGAGAGGGGGCATCTGGAAGCAGCCTAGAAGAGAGTAACCTGTCAGAGCCCCTCTTCCTGACTGAAGGGGTGATCAGAGATCTGAACCTTGCATCCAGTTCTCTGTCTTAGAATCCAGCCAGCTGTCAATCACACTGATCTCACAGCAAAGGGTTGTGATCATAGGAGACACAGAGCAGCCAACACATAGAAACAGAGAAACAGAGCGAGTCAGAAGGGGCCTCCTGGGCCATTTAGTCTGACCCCTAGCTCCAGCTGGCTCCACTCATGACATGCCCACCATGTGCATGTCCAGCCTGTCTTTGAACACCCTCACCGATGGGGCCTCAACCACCTCCCGTGGAAGCCCATTCCATACCCTCGGGGTCCTGACTGTCAGGAAGTGCTTCCTGGCATCCAAATGGAACCTTGGTTTCCTGAGCTTTGCTCCGTTGGAGCGCGTCCTGCCTTCCTCTGCAGGGGAGAGCAGGCCTCTACCCATCTCCGTGTGACATCCCCTCACATACCTGTATGTCGCCAACATATCCCCCGAGTCTCCTCTTCTCCACGCTGAAGAGACTCAGTTCCCTCAGTCTCGTCTCATACGGCATCCCCTGCAAACTGGCCACCAACCTTGTGGCCCTACGCTGCACTGACTCTAACCTGGCTATATCTTTCCTGTAATGAGGGGCCCAAAACTAAGCCCAATACTCCAGTTGCGGGCGCACCAGAGTCGTATAGAGTGGTAGTAATACCTCTCTTGATCTAGAAGCCACGCTTCTGGCTATGCAACCAAGGGTGGCGTTCGGCCTCTTGACCACCGCATCACACTGCTGACTCATGTTTAGCCTGCAGTCAATCAGCACCCCGAGGTCCCTTTCACAAGTGCTGCTCTCCAGCCACTTGTCTCCTAGCCTGTACTTATGACCCTTGTCCTCTAACACCTTACCTTCAAGAGGTTTGACGATTTGCAGTTTCTCCGGAAGGAGAGAGCGCAAGCTGCTGGTGGATCCAGAGAAATCTGTAAGGTCTGAATTGCCTCCCAGTGGAAGGCAGCTCTCCCCTGGGGTGCTACAACCACTGAGTTCCTCTTTCTGGTCAGCCAGTAAATGCATCCTGCGCTTGCACTCATCTTCAAAGAACTGCTTTTCACTCAGGTAGTTCTGACGACGGAGGTTAAGCCTGTGCAAAGCAGCAGCTAAATCATCTCCCCTGGGGACACCAGGATGGCCCAGGTTTTCTGCTTCCCTCCTAGAAATAAAAGAATGAAATGTGGTATTATGACATTAAAAGGCGACCTCCCTCAAACAAGAGAATGGACACCATACAGTCAGACGGTCTGTCTGTCTGACTTCTGTAACTGATGGGCAACATTAAAAATGTGTAATGTTAAAACTTTCAATTGTGCAGAACAAGTGATATGCTGCTCCAGTGGTACACAAGCCTCCAGCAGCATTGGTGCCAATTCTTCATGGCAACGTAATTTCACAGAGAGAGAACACATCTTGCCAGGTAGTAGTTTGTGTTCTGAGCAGATGACATGCCCAACCATATGACAGACGCAACCAAAAAACTCTGCGCAAGAAAAGTAAACTAGCTCCATTCTTTGTTGCTCACTAATATTCTAACATAACATTTCTGTACTGGTCCATTGATACCCATGTATATCCCACGGCTGATGCAGCACTACGATATAGAAAGGAAAAGGTTCTGTTCATAGTACCTCATAGGAGGATGCTGATTAGATCACAAGATAAAATAAATATGCCAAAGAGGAAGCAGGAAAGAAAAGAGATGTTTGCCTTTAAGTGTGCTTTGAGACAACAGGAACTCTTCTTCTCCCAGCATCAGCATTCCTAGAAGTACACGGTTCAGCACTGACAATGAAAGTTCCTCACCTGGAAATGTTCTCTGAGCTGGTCTTCTGAGAGTGATATGCCTTTCCCTCCCCATGGTGCAAGTCAGAATGAAAAGGCTTTGCTGTCATGACAACACTGGAACGATTTGACCCTGGAATGGGTAGTGGAGTAGGACATGAAGCACAACGGCCACGCATTACATTCGCTACTTTTACAGTATCAAATATGCGCTTTTGCTGAGTCCTAAAAGAAAAAGAAAACAGACACTGGATATAAAAATGTACAGCATTTCTGTTCTCAGAGTGATACGTATCAGTCCATGTGTTTAGATAAGTTTACCTTTCACACCAGTTGTTCTGTAAAATGTCACTTAAGCAGTAAAAAAAAATCCTCACTGACTGTACCCAGAAGCTCATGCTCTCTCCTCTCTCTGGCCTTATGCGGGTCTGTGCCCCCATCTCTCAACTTCCTTCTCTCTTTTTCTTTTCCCATACATCATTTTTATTTTATTTATTTATTAAAACATTTCTATGCAGCCCCTTGCCGAAGCCTCGGGGCGGCTCACAGCACAAAATAAAATACAATAAAATACAAAAATAACAATATAAAATTAACAATACAAAATAAATAACAATATAAAATGTTCCTCTGGGAACATGGTCAATAACATGGTCCTCTGGGAACTCACATTCCTCAGCTAATGCCCTTCATGCTGTCCCACCCCAAAGGTCTTTGCAGCCTTCTGTTTCTCTAACATAACATTCACCCACTCATACTACACTGCCACCACTTTTTTCTGTTTCTGCACCTGTGACTTTGTATTTCCATTTTTCAGCTCCTCCTTATTAAAATGAGTATTTATTTATTACTGTTATCTTGTCCTTCATAAAATGCCCAATGCAACGCACAACAATTTAATGGCATACTAAAAATAAAACACAAACTAACATTGTAGGGGAAAAAAACCTGGCCAGAGCAGTTAAAATAAATATATAAATCCTTAGACTATTCAAAGCAGGCCCAAAGGCTTTCCTGAGAAGTCTTGTTTTTATCATATTCTGAAAGCCCAGCAGTGACAGGGAGGTGTGTAACTGGTTGGAAAAAAATGCAATTTCCATCACATGGCCCTTAATCCTGGAGAGTAGCAGTGCAAACACAGCAAAGCATCACCAAGCTTACTTCTGATGGACTATCATCAGGCCTTATGCCTAGGGGCTGCTCTCAAACAGCAAGGTTAACCTGAAAAGCTTGGTCCAGCAGGGAGCAGCCTGTGCTACATCTCTTCCTACCTGGACCGGGACTTCTCAGTTCAGTCTAAGAACTGGAGAAGATATGCTGCAGTGGCCCTCCCACTGCTAGAATATCCTAAGAAACAGGTCTTACATAACCATAAAGTGGTAGGAAGGCACCACAAACTTTAGCTTTCAAATTTCTTCAGAGAGCAGTGATCCAGCAGGTCTTATATTGCGCAAACCTGCACAGAAATCTGCACTGAAATCTGAGAGTTTAGATACTGCTTTTATTTATTGTGATTGAGTTTTAAACAAACTCAGCATTCAGGGCATTCATCTTGTCAGGACTGCTGTTTAATACAACTATTTTTTGCAGAAGAATGTTGTTTTCCAAACTCCACAATAATATTTATATTTAAGTAAAAATAAAAATAGCATCTCAATCCACTACACAGGTATCTGGATCCATCTACTGTCTTAATCCTACAACTACCATGACCTGTCAAAATGGACTTAGCGTAGCAAACCAAGAGCTGCACTTACTTTTGTCTTGAAATGGATTCCTCATCCATGCTCAGCTCTTTCCGCATTGTTCCCTCAATCTCTGCTGCCAACGATTCCTTACAGTATTAAAGAATATATTAGGTTTCAACATACTACAGTAAAATTGCAACTGCGCCTTTTTTGTTCAGCCCAACATCACTGGGGAAATGCACAATGAAATCCTAGCCAGAAGCATAAGATGATTCCTAAGTATTGCACAAACATCTCCTTCCAGGAAGTTCCTCACCCCAAAGCTACTCCACATAGTGGTGTACAATTTTCCCCAAACCTCTAGGTGTTCAGGAAGATACAAAATGTATCCCACTTTTTCTGGGGAAAAGTAGTTTTGACAGCTAGCTTAAAAATGGGGGTGGGGTTTAACAGGGTCATGGGTGCTTTTTGATTTGGATATCTGACTGCATATATCCCAGTCAAAAAACTCCACTGCCCAGTAAGAGTCCATTGCCTCTCCAAGGCCTGCAAGAGATACCATTGTTTTCAACTCTCTGTCAACTCTTGGCCATTCTAGACTCACTCCCTCCCTTTTTAACTAAAGGAAATGTTTCAATTAGCCATTTAGAAAGGAAGATATTGAGGTACAGAAATAACTTTCTCTAGAGCAATTACTCTGGAGTAAGCCAAGAAGAGCTACAGAAAGGTAATTTTCTAGGATAGATTCTCTACCCCCAATCAGGACAAAACAAATATCCCCTTATTACACTGTGTCCTCATTTAAATCCTTCTCTGTCATCCTAGAAAGACAGCACTATACAAATGGCTTGCATCAGTGACAACCCTCAAAATTATTCAGGGGCTGTTGACAGGATCAGGGAAGCCAACTAAAAAAACTAATACAAAACAAAAAACCATTGGACAATGTCCAGTGGTGGTATTCTGCAAACTCAAACAGTTCTAATAGGATTCCACTAACTCTTTCCATTGTGCAAACACCAATGAAACTGTGCTTGTGCAAACTATTGTGCAAACACCAATGAAACTGTGCTTGTGCAAACTTTAGTTGAATTCTCCTCCTGCACATAATTCAGAATGTTGTTTATGACAGCACAACGTCATTTGTATTAGTGGAATGACACAAGTGAATGCTGCTAAGTGTGCTAACAAGTTTCTACGATCTTTCAGCATTTATAACTATTTATCCAGAAGCACCTTCTTGAATGTACAACTCGGAGGGAGAGAGGGGAAGAAGAAGAAGGCAATGAAATAGCAGGAACCAACCTAGGAAATCCTTTTGCCAAAGTTAATTGTTTAGGTAAAGCTGATGAATTAACTGTTGAATTTCTGTTGCACAGAGTACAACAGACCTTCCTAACAGTAATGAAGGCTTTCTAATAATGCATTTGCTATTTAGTCTTTAGGAAGAAGATATTTTACACAATACTTCTCTCTCTCTCTCACACACACACATACACAATACAATACATACATACATACATACAAGGTGAAAATTATACTAGTGTTCAGGCCTTTGTGTCTGTCAAACGAGATGTATGACCCACAATAAGAAAAAAAGAAGAGAGCAGGAGACATAGGGAACAGCTATATTTAAAAGACAGAATCAGAAGTAGCAGGGTGGAGATTGAGATACTTTAGCTAACTGCCAGCTGCTTTTTCCAAGTTATAAGGGACAAGGTCAGTCACTTCAAGTCTGCCCTTGAAGTTTCATGTTACTTATAACCAGTGGGCAGTTGAAAGGGGTTCTGCTTGAACTCATGGGGTCTGCTAGATGGTCAGAAAACTGATGGTAAGTTACCACGGGAAATGTTCCACATGACTGGGGCTGGCAGAGACGAGCAGCATGGCTGGCTTTGCTGCGCAATCCCTTGGCTTCTTCTTGCGACTCGTGCAGCATCCCCAGGCACTCAGCATTCCGCTCTTGTAAGTCATGCAGCTGTAAGAATGCAAAAGGCCAGTCACTTACTTGGCAAAGAAAACAAGCCATACTGAAAAGACCCAACTACATATAATCCAAGGTGATACTGTTGCAGTCTGCTTCAGTATCTGCAAAGACAGGCAACATGAAACAGACACCTCTGAACAAAAAGCAAGTGCCAATCAGTGCTTTGGAGTTCTGGGTCTCAAGTTCATGAGTCTTTCTTTGTCAAAGTGCATGTATATTATTTTTCTAACAGAAAGATGACAGCATGCTGTCTTCTGGAATTTCCCTCCACTCCATCACTACAGCAATAACCTCATCCACTGAAAAAGAATTTTCCACTGTTCATTGTTTCATAGAATTATTTAGTAACATAATAAATAAATAGAAACCAGTCAAACTGGACGTTCAAAGTTGTATGTTTACAAAACTTAGGAAAAAGCTATTTAATATTCAGTCCTTCGGACAGGATAGAATGACTATGCTCATAATTTTTGACACCTTTATTCCCCCTAAAAACATAAGCACTGTAAGGGAAGTGCCATGTTATCTCAAAAATATTTACAATATTTTAAAAATAGGGCGAGATCCAACATTGTCTGTAGGCAAAACATACATATCACATACAAATTAATACATACTTTTTATAGTTTTGCTAACTAATCATTGGTCAAATAAAAAGAAGCTCATCAAATCACAATCAATTACCAGAACCTAACCCTAACCCTATTCCCAAAAAAAAAAATCTGATTCAAAACTTTCCAGAAAGCTCAGAACACTAGGTGCTATTCACAGAAGAAAACCCATACCTCTGCTGTCAGCTGTCGCTGGGCATCTTTGGAAGCTTGCAGGTGCAGTTTCAACTCTTCCTTTTCAATTACATGCTGAGGGTACATAGAAAATGTTTACCTAATCCACTCTGAATATCACTGGAAATAATAATAAGCACTTAATGCCCAACTTTCAATCCCTCCTTTCTGTCTGGGAACATGCACACAAACCTCTTTGATTTTATGCTGAAGATCAACAATCTGAGACAAGAGGGTTGAGATCTCTTCCTGATAGTGAAGCAGCTCTTCATTCTTCCTTGCCAGTTCCTCACTCATTCTTACATTCTGAGCATTTGTTTCCCCTAAGAATACATGGTTAAAAACATGTTAAGACAGTAGCTTCCCAGTGCTTGTACTAGCCCTCTCCTGCATAAAGTTACTTTTAGGAATGCACAGAAAATCATTTTAAGGGAAAAAAGTCAATGAAACAGCAAAAACCAATCATGATGAAAAAGCAAATAAGAAGGTGGCAGCTAATGCTTCTTACAATACTGGCCTTAACCAACAAGGATTCATCATTAACCAGGGTTTTAAATTCAGTATCAGCCCCTGCTTTCAAAACCCTGCTCAACCGTAAGTCCAAGTTTGAGTAAGGTTACACAGATGCAAATCTAACCACAGTTAAAGCCTGGCAAGGAAAGAGTAGGTGAACTGTGCTAGAGAAAGAAGGGATAATCATTGCAGATTTCTATTGGGTTTTAAAGCTTAAGCCTTCAAAAGGTCCCCATGTTAGCAAGTCCATCTGCTTATATAGTGCAGAACCCACTGGGGCACTTATACCCTGATTCTCTGCTGGCCTTCCAATTGCACCTCTTGTGCAGTAACAGTTAAGCATTTCTGGGGCAGCTCGAAACAAATGGAAGCATTAGGTTCGAGAAGGAAGCACGCTGGTAGAGCTTGTATAAGGGAAATGCTCATTTCTGAAAGGAGGTAAATCAGCAGAGCTCACCTAATGGTGCTCTGCTGGCCTGCCTCCTTCCACAATCAACCGTTTCACTTGTTTCAGGGATTCCCTAGGAATTGCTAAGTCCCCTTACATTAGCCAAGGGTTCTGCCACTTTTGGGAAGGCACAGGAAAGGCAGAAAATAATTTGCCCAGTTGGATTCTGCCCAAAGAGCTCTGACATGGAAGCAGGAGTGCGCCATTGATGTGTTTGCATCCCAAGACAGAAATATATATTTTTTACTTGCAGCAGAAGATGCCACTTGGATACTCACTGATCTCTTTGACACAGTCACTGACTAGCTGTTGCTCTTTCTCTTCATATGTCATAGTTTCAGTCTTCAGATGGCAGGCCTTCAAGAACATGAGCAAGCTTTCATGAATTTTAAAGTTAGCTCTACATGCATGTATATTTTTCTTTCTCTATCCACAGACCAGAAATAACTTCACTGTAACTGCAACCTACACTTTTATGTATTTGATGAAGATTGATTTCTTACCTATAACTATGGTTCCTCAAGTGACCATCTGTGCATTCATAGGCATGGGCTCTTCACTTGCACAGAGCCTTGATTCGGAAAGTTTCTATAGCCGAGGAATTTTGGCATAAACCCTCCCCACTATATATTTTTAGATTCCTGCCCATTTCCTCAGTTTGATGAAACAGCCTATTGTGGCCTCCAAACAAAGAGAAGTTTGGCACTGGTATCAGTACAATGGGTAGTAGTACTGTCTTGAACTCCAAATCATAATAAATGAACTCAAACCAGAATTCAACTAAAAAGGCTACAAAAGTAACTGGAAATCTATGGTAGGCATGGACTTAAAAGGTTTCCCAGTGAGTGCTTTCAGCACTACAGAGAAGCTGCAATGGGGAACAGGCAATTTTACTAGGGAAACAATCTTATAAGCACCTTGAAGGAACTGTTTAACTGCTGGATCTGAAACAAAACAAAACAAGACAAAAACCTGGAGTGTGAAAGAGATAGCAGTTGAATAAACCTTGAGAGAAGAAAGTTTTAAATCTCTTGAGATAAGGATAACAGAAAATGCAGAACATGGGGAAAAGAACATGAAGGACTGGATCCTTTGAATAACATGAAGGAGGAGAAGACTTCCCTCCTCGCATTCCTTCCTACCAATAAATGAAGAAACTCATCAGGTCTCTCTTCCATCAGATCTTGGGACCAAGGTTAGCAATGAGGAAGGATGGTTGTTAGCCCTCACAGAAGTCCTCTGTACCAAAAAAGAGGCTGGCCAAGAGTTTTCCCATCTATTGACATCCTGACATGGCAAGGGCTCTTCCAATCTGTGAAAATGTCACATCAGAACAATGATTGCATTCCAAGGTATCTTAAAAGCCCCAGTCAATGGTATTTGATATAGGCCAGGTGGGAGAGATGGCTCCCAAATGTCACTGTAGTTATCCTTATGATAAGACTGATGAGGTTGCATCAACCAATCCAAGGGTTCCTCCCAGCCCAAGGGAGGGGATTTTTCATGGTACTGATACTGGCTGCCTTTGAGCTGTTGCGATCAAGACTATCCAGGAGAACTCACATGGGATTGAAATACCAGTAGAGGGCTGGTGAGAGGCTCCTGAGCATCTTGAGGGTTCTCCAATTTCCTCCACAGAGGCTCAAGCTCTGATGGCATACCCAGATGGCAGAACAGTCAGAAACAAAGTGGCACCAGCAGCCAAAGTGTGGATGATTGCTAAGACTCCTATGAGTGCTCCTGAGAGGAAACAGAATCTTTCTTCTTTTTGGTCTTGTTCAAAAAGGTTGTTGATTCGGTCATTTTAGACATTTTTTTACTACCAAGACAGCAACAGAACAACCAAATGTCAAGGGTTAGGGTGTTAGGGTTATGTTACTAAATAATTTATGATTAGAGCTTGAATGACTGGTGAGGGAGAAGAAAATGGCCTAACATCTATAGCAGTAGTTGAAGCAGCTTTTGATGGGGCAGGTCATTATGGATCCATTGCAGGGATAGGAATTACCCCTGCCCTTAAGGAGGAGAGTCTTTAAAATCTGTCAGACATGTTTCTCCTCCCCTGTTAGGTAATAGCCTGTCACTGCGAACAGGAATGGACAATATGTCCCTCACCCAGGGGAAGTAGGCAGAATGAGTGACCATTGGTTGGTAGATGATTGCTGCCACAGTGCGTGCACTTCCAAAAATGACCATATGCCTCTCAGGTGAAGGCCTCAATATGCCTTCATGACCATATGCCTCTCAGGTGAAGGAAGCAATCAAAGATTACCAAAAACTGCTGATAAAATAAAGAAAATAATTGGAAGAAATGCTCAGTAATAATCTCAAAGGGACAGAACTTTATCCTGAGGAGAAAGGATAAGGCTTCCTACAAGGCAACCGCAATGGAAGCTGAAGAAGAACTGAGGCAGGAACCTACTGACAATATAAAATGAGGGAGAGATCCTGCTGAAAACTCATAGAAAGCTTCCCAAATCAAGGCTTTGCACAGGTATAAAGCCCATATATGTGGTGCACAGAGGTTACAAAGAAGAATTAATTGTGCCATTTGATTCCATTGAAATCATTTTCTTCATTTGCTGTGGAGAAATATATAGTTCAAAGATTACAAAAATTAAACAACTCACTGCAAAAGAGACACTCACAAAGTGAGATTTGCATTCAGTATGAATAATATATTTGATTGCCTATAACGGGGTGTGAAAGGAATCCATCTGGAGGTAGGGATCAATTGGATTCCCTAGACTTGGCTTCCTAGACTCCATTAATAAAAAGTTCATAAATGAACATCAGATGAGGGAAGAGAAGATACATCAAGGAACTGTACTGGGCCTGGAAAATCTGTACCAGCCCAGGTTTTCTTGTAAACTTGGTTTTGATTGTAAACTTGATGTAAAAGTGCCATCTACAGAGAAAGTACTACAGTAGAGCCATACTTTAGTAAAAGTTAAAGGGTTTTCTTCACTCTTACTGCACAAAGATGTAGTTTTATGCATTCTTTTTTGGAATATGCTGCACTGAACACAGTAAAATTTATTTCTGAGTAAACATGCAGATTGCACCTTAATAGCACTCTTTATCTTGAATTATTACAAGTTTATGCAGGACATAACAGTTTTCAGGACAAGAAAATTAATGAAGAGCTGTAATATAGCAGGTATCATAATTAATCTTGACAGAACTCAAAATAAAAACAAGGCCAGTGTCTAAACAATGTATTAGAATGCAACAAAACAATAAAAATAATAGTCACTAAAACAGCACCACTCAAATCAATAAGGCCATAAGATTTCTATTCTACAGTGTAAAAGACCCAATGTACATTCAGGCATAGGCACATAATTTTCAGTTCCGGTAGCCAGCCAAAATCTGACCTATTATAGAAATAGCCTGTGTGGTTATATATGTCCTCCATTGGAGCATCCTGTAGGATCTGAGGTATCTCACAAACATTCCCGCTAAAGGGTTAATTGCATCTGAAGCTACCTCATACAACTTTTAGCCCCAAGTTAGCTAAAAGATAACATTTTTTTACGTTCCACAGGGCCTATATGAAAGCAAGGGCATTTTATTCCTTCCTGATACTTTTATTCAATTTAGAACTTACATATCATTCTAAAGATCTGACAAACAGGATGTCAGTAAATCAACCCAAGTGAGCAATATGGATTATTCTATTTGTTTTCTCTTCAATTGCAGGAGGGCAGACTATGACCACCCCCAAAATTAGAATGGTCCAAGATCCTAGTTAACTTCTGCCACAACCCGAAGCAAACAATTTAGCTCTGCTTCTTCAATAATTTGGAGCCATGCTCTCACTGTGACATATGTTAATATGAATTGCCCAATGAATCAATATGGGACTGGCAAGTAGTTCTGACTTTTGGGCATTAGTTTCAACTGGACAGAATTCAGAGAAGACAAAGTTAAATCTCAGACCACAGAAAGGAACTAAATCCGTTCAGCAAAGCCAAAAAAGGCATTTAAACAGTAAAGTTCCATCTAGAATGAAGACGATTTTTTAAGCAAAGGAGAAGCAAGTAGATGGTAAGGGACAGTGATATCACAGAATGAACAGAAGAGGCTCATGCAATCTTGAAGACAGAACAAGCTTGACCTTAATTTTGTTAGCAGGCCGTTTCTTTTAATTTATTTTAATGTTTGAAAGGCCCATGAATGTAGATTACCTTTGTTCGAAGAGAAATGTTCTCCTCCTCCAGTTCCCTGAGTTTATCCTGCAACATATCCAACTGCAGGAGTCCATGAGACGAGTTGAAAGACTCATTGAAGCGAAGTGGTGTGGAACAGCTAGAGTCAGTCTCGCTTTCTTCAGAAGCGATGGACACCACGCGAAGCAGTTCATCTTTTTTTGTTAGCTCATGCTGTAGCTGATGAACCTGATTTCAAAAAGCCTTTGTTTACCAAAGCAGTCAACATATCAAGGTTTTGCTGCCACCTCTAAGGGATCACTGCACAAGTGAAAAACAATAGGATACCACCATCCAAAATTGTATGTATGCCTCTCTCCTTTTTCTCTGTTTGATGGGTCTATTAATATGGTATCATCTGAAGCTATGATATGGAGCTCAAAGACATCTTAATATATTTAATGTACTTTTAGCTGCACTATGTAATAATTGTATATGAAATGGTTATATGCAGCCTTGCAAATACTAATCAAAGGCATCACTGCCTGTTTGATGCTCTTCTTTTATCTAAGCTTCTTTCCCATCAGTTTCCTTTGTTCTGCAGGGTGAAAATACAGCCGTCTTTCCAGGTGGTGGTGGTTTCTCTCCCTCCAGCCTTTAAAACTAGAAGGGATAGTGCTAGAAAACACACAGTTGCAGACATACATCCAATAGCACTAAGGCTAGAAGGAAGAAACAGTTATGGGCACAATCTTCCTTAGCTCAATACATGTCCTTTGCTGGAAGGGAGATGAAGGGTTAGTTCACACATTCATCAAATGAGGAAATTATCTTCTCCCAAGGTGATGTGTGCTATAGATTACACACTATTTCATACTTTATTGCCTGATTCTACTTCAGTAGAATATGTTTTAAATACAAACACACTTCTGTAGTGGTTTAGTCGGGTGCAGTAATCTGCTCTTGAACTAAGATTGAACTAAGATCTTCCTGCCACTTAAGATGCTCAAGTTCCTGCTCACTCACCTTGTCAAAGGCTTGGCCCAACTGTTCTTCAAGAGCTTCATTTTGCTCAGTTAGGATATGGTTTCGTTTAAGCAGGGCCTGTCCAATTCGTGCTGCCAACTCAAGATCCCGATCTCTCTGCTCAGAAACAACAAGAAATGGCTTTATGTCCAAGGAATTTATTCAAATCCTAATTTAAAACAACACATGCATCTGTTTCATTTGCAACATATAGAAAAGGTTTCCCTTAATGTACAAAATCTCAGACTTGAGTTAAATGTTACGTTCTCCTTATTTGTCTGTTAAACCCATCAATGAAGAAATGTAAATAAAAATGGGCAGTGCATGTATTTAACATATTTAAAATATCAGGCACAGGTCTAATGTAGAGAGTTTGCATTTTCTCTGATGATTAAAACAAAGAAAAGTATTGACTGAAATAGCCAAAACAAAGTTCACTCCCTTGAAAATGCTTAAGTATTGTTCTCATCCTGTGAGCTAAGCAAGCACTGCAATCTTCCCTTTACTTTTACAACAGATTCTAGGATACAATATTTACTAATTTAATTTAACATATTTCTATGCTGCTTTTTTGGGTGTGACATCACATTGTAGTTTATAATAAAAGTGTTATACTAAACTACTGAAAAACATACTAAAAGCAATTATCAGTTTACAAATGTATGGGAAGGGTCCAAACAGTAAGATCAGTGTGCAGAATCCAGCAGGGCGCTTATGCCCCCACCAATTGCTTTCCTCCCCAATTCCATTCCCCAAATAGTATGTCCCACTGATTTGGTTGTGCAAGCAGGACCCACCATATACACAACAGAGAATTAGCACTTCCTAGGGAAAGACCTGAAATGAACAGAAATGCTCATTTGTGGAAGGAGACAGGGTGGCAGTGTAACCTTCTGGGTTGCCCAGGAAGCACTAAGTTCAGAACTGATTGTGCATAGAAGAATCAGCCAGGAGATAAGAGCTCCATTGGATTCTGCAACAAACACTATCTAGATAGAATTACATTAGTCTATAGGATCATAGGTGGGAGGATCATCTGTTCAGATGAGAGATATCCAGCCTGCCTTGGATGGGGCTGCACTCCTCCTAAAGGACAACGTCTGCAGCTTGGGGGTGCGCCGAGACCCTGAATTGTCCCTTGAATTCCAGGTGGATTTGGTGGCCAGGAGCACCTTCTATCAGCTGAGGCTGATTTGTCAGCTGCGGCCGTTTCTGGACAGACAGGACCTAGGAACTGTTATTGATGCACTAGTAATCTTGTGCCTAGACAATTGAAATATGCTCAGGCTCCCATTCAAGACAGTCCAGAATAGGGCAGCTAGGCTGCTAATGAAGACTGGTATGTATGTATGTATTTATTTATACATTTCTATGCCGCCCCTTGCCGAAGCCTCGGGGCGGCTTACAACACAATAAAATACAAAAATAACAATATAAAATTAACAATATAAAATAAATAACAATATAAAAGAAGTCGCCCTGGCCAGATAAATAAGCAAATATTGTTAACAATTAAAATGACGTTTAAATAAAAAGGTCTTCACCTGGCACCGAAAAACAAATAACGACGGCGCCAGGCGGACCTCCTGGCACTATCTTTGCATTCTTTTCGATGTCAGACAAAGAACTTTTTATTCTGCTGGTATTTTAATGGTTAAACTGGGTTTTAATGCTATTCTAACAGAATGGGACAGAAGTGCATTTTTATTGTTGTTTTATTGTCATTTTAATATTTGAGATGTTTTTATTGTTTTACACTGTTTTGTATGGTTTCGCGGTTGTAACCCACTGAGGGAGCTGTGTGGCTAGCAGGGCAGGCTAGAAATCTAATAATAATAACAATAATAATAATAAAATAAGAAGTAGTTATGTGCATGCATACAGATGCATCAGGGTAAAGAATTAATTCAGCCTGAGGATTGAAACTGCAAAATGGGAAAGTCTTCAGGGCCATATTCAAATTGTGGGCAGGATCATAAGTAGAGAATGCAGGACCAAATGTGATTGCCATTTTAAGCCTACTCAACTGTAAGCAAGGTATGTCTTCTGTATGTTTACCCAAGAGTAAGCAGGCCTGAATCACTAAGCAGGACTTTCAACTAGTACTCCAAATATTATACCTCTGCTTGACTACTCACAAATAAGCAAGTCCCCTGCCTACAAAATTCACACTTGAGTTTGTTGCTGTAGCTCTCCTGTCTGCAAACTGTGCAGTTTAAAAAGTTTTCAGCAGTTCAGTTCTTTGTGGGGTATTTAAGGTTTTCAATCTACTACTGAAGGTAATTCCAAATTAAGCCAGGGAATAGTTGGGAATCCAAGATTGCACTAGCCTTCAGGCTGAATGCTTCCCATCTTTAGCATATATAAAACACAGAGGTAAGGTTCCCATTTTTTTCTAGATGGGCAGGTTTATCAGACTCTGAGCTAGTAAAAAGTACTATGAGTCACTGAGGTCACTTGCATCTTCCTAGCTATTGCTGGTTCTGGGAATACCTCCAAGACAACTCATCAAATTTTGCAATCCCAGCCAGGTATAAACCAGTGATCTTTCTACCATATTGTATTTTGATCTGTGACACCTCTGTACAAGCCTCTGAATTATCTTTCCCAGCAATTTCTTGTAAATATTCAGGAGAGAATAGGTATGGGAGGAGGGCTAGAATACTGACACATCCCAAGGCCCACATTTGTAAGTGGAACATTAGTTCTTCCTATTTCCACCACACCCCAAAAAAGTTCTGAACGTGTTTATTGAGGAAGGACTGGAGCAATCATAGCACCATACCTCCAAGTTTCACTTTGATGACACAGTACAGAAGGAGACAAAAGATGACAGCATTGAAAATAGCTAAAATCTATTAAAAAGCTGCTATAGTTGGTATTATTGAAAGTTGCTGTCATTTTTAGAAGCACAATGGGGTTGTATTCCCTCTGTCTGTCTTCAGGTGAAGATCACTTCAGCAGAATTAACTGAGGCAGTTTTATTTCCATAGCCAGTTTGGAAGCTGGACTGGAACAGATTCAAATATCTTCATCCAAATATGCCTGGAGTTGAAACATCACTGCCTGTTCCAGACAGATAATTCTACATGGGACCCTAATTCTAAGTATAGACAGCTTATACAGATGGGACATGTAGTGAGAACCAAGATTCTGATGCTGGCACCATCAGACAGGGGGAGCTGTAGACTCTTTAATGGTGTCACTAGATATGCTTGCACTTAATAATTATTTGTACCTCCCTGAAATGTATATTTATTTATTTATTTAAGATATTTGTATGCCGTCCTTTGCAAGAGCCTCAGGATGGCTTACACAAATAATATTCCGAGGTACATAAACAATATAATATAAATAAATTGACAACCCACTCTGGCTGCAAATTAAAATACGGTAATAAAATTCAATATTAAAACTTATTAAAATATTGAATAAATAAAAAGGTCTTAACCTGGCACCGAAAAACAGGCAGACCACCCTAGGGAGTGCATTCCATAGATGGGGCGCCACTGCAGAGAAGGCCCTCCTCCTGGTACTCTGTCTCCTGATGTCTTTCACAGAGGGTTCCCGGAGGAGGGCTTCTGCTGCCGATCTGATTACATTATTCCCCTCCAAGCTATTGCTTTAATTCTTTTTTGTTGTTACTACTTCCCATTACTTATTTTATGTATTTATTCAAAACATTTATATGACACTGTTCAGTTAAAAGATTATCAGAGTTGCACAAATTTCTAATGATTTTAGTAGAACAGCATTCCATTTTTTTCTTAATAATTTGACTAACTATATCTGCGGTCTAATCAGGATCTGTGTGTATGTCATACAAGTTTTAAGTAAATCCTATAATATAAAAATACATATCTTTTATAGCAAACAAAAGCTAAACCTTTTATGAAGTTACAGTATTTGCATGCTGCCCCATAAAAAATTCTCTGGATAGTTTACATAAGCAAACATAACAATTTAAATACATAATAAGCCATGAAACTGAAAGATCAAAAGAAGCACAAATGTAAGAAACAAAACATATAGCAACCACAAAATTAAAACAACAATTAAAACTGAATAATTATACCTCAGCCAGTAGACGTGTGACCACTTCAGCATCATTGGAACTTGTCACCTGTTCATGTCTGTCTGGGCCAAGAACTGAAAACCAAACAATGACTCAATGTGGTTTAACTGGAACAACCACGCACAGTAACTAAGGATAACATATTTGGAAACTTAAAGCAGAAAGCTTGTGAGGATTAGTGGGTGAGCTCAAAGGCACATTAAAATGTAGCATTCAGATGAAATTTTCTATAATATTTCTGAAAAAAACTTAGAAAATATTTAAGTATTAATTCCAAGGAATTTTTATGGAATCAGCTGTAATGAATAATTAAGAGGAAAACATTACAATCGAGCAAAAGTTAGCAGTAATAAAAACTAACAAGCAATTTCTACTGGCACTTGTCATGGAAGAGCTGAGGACAGAAGCTGGAATTACCTTGTGCCTGTTTGTGAGGTCCAGCCAAGTAGGAAGGGGGAAGTTCAATAAGAGCTAGTACAGATGAACAGAAGTAGGAGAGGAAGGAGAAAGCATCAATAGTTACAAAACTGTATGGTTGTAAATTTGTTGCTGAATTACCATAGGTACAGTGTGCCCTTGCTATTTCCAAGCAATTTCCTCTTACACTGACCAAAACCAACAAAACTGAGAAAGCAGAGATTCATGCAGAAGCAGGAAGTGGCTCATGTTTGCAAACGGAAGCTGTGTGGTAAAATCTGTAGCTCTAACACCTGCCTGCGAATTCTTGCTAGGTAGGATATGTGCATGTAAACCAAAGGCTGGCCAGTAATGATCAGAATGCAGAAAATCTTTGTGCGTGCAGCATACAGAGCATTCCCCCCACACGCAGATCTTTCAGTTGACAGCATGTTGCACAGCGAGTGTTCACTTCTCACAGAAAAGGATGAAAAGCCCAAGCCTTTGTGAGCACTGTTCTGTCATGGCCCAGGACTGGCTGCCTGAAAACACCTTAATTACATTTGAGAAACATTTGTGGATTTTAAAAGGCGCATTGAAGCTGTGCTCCCTCTAAAAATGATATGGAGAACGAAAATTATCTAGCATAAAGCAGGTATAAAAGAGTAGCAAACATAGATAGCCATACCAAAACAAGTAAATTTGCAATTAATTTGTGCAATTAATTTTGCAGCACAGCAGTGTTAATAATGGGTAAGCCATTTGGTGAATTATTTGTCTTTTTCATTTTTAACTGCTATTCAACTTGAACACATGAGTGTCCACCTTCTTATGCTTTATTTAGTGGCAAACACTATCACCTTCCAACCTATCATGGTACACAACATTTCTGAAAATTTTTATAAGTTGTAATTTAAATTTCTAACCCTTTGAAATTGTGCTCAGTTGTGTTTATTCAGCCATACAGAGAAAAAAAGAAGTGGAGCAGTGGCATTTATTTCCCCATTTGTTATGGACAGAGAACATCTGATATAATCTAACTGGAAAGGGACCTGGTACAGTGCTATGTAAAAGCTAACAAGAAGCTGGGGGAACTGTTTGACTTATTGTACTACAACACCCTGTTTACATTTTAATGGCTCATAGCTTATTCGAAAGGAGGACAAAGTCAAACAATTAACTTTACTAAACATCAGTAAAAGGACAAAGGCCTGCTCAGCTTAACTAATAAGGACAGTATGCAGATATTGGAGGGAGAGGAGAACCCAAGCTGTGCTTTCTTCCAGTGGTATAGTACTTTCAGCCACTAGCATTGTTTAGTAATTATCTAGCACTTTTCTGCTCTCCGAGCACTTCAACATGCCTATCTTCATGTAATTCTCACAACAGTCCTGGAAGACAGGTAGACAATATCTCAGGTTTTCAAAGGCATTACATGATATGGCAATAACAGTAGAAAATCCAGCTGAGAAAACTCTACGATGCCACTAGGCAAGCACAAACCACTTTCATAAACCTAAGCAGCTTTTTGGCTTCCAGGCAACAGTAAAGTATGTTCTAACTCGGTGGGATGGATCCAGAAATGCAACCTTACAAATTGAAGGGCTCCTTCTGTTGAAGCAAACTGGATCCAGTGGAAGCTCCTGTTCCATGAACTGGATGTTCTAGAAAGGGAGAACATTTTTGCTTATTTCCCCTCCCTCTAGCAAACTCCAGAGCCACCTGTTCCCCTATTCTGGATGGTCCCACAAACCACAGAGCAAACTTTCAGTGCATAGAGGCTGCAAGGAAGAGACAGAATCAACAACAAAACCTTTCCCTCTTTCTGCCAGCAGTAGTGTCCATTTTGCAGAGTTTACTTTATGCAACATTGGACCCAACCCTATGCATTGCAGGTGCTTTCTATGAAAAGCTAAGGGAGAGAGGCCTTTGTGAAACCTAGAGAATTTATAGCAGGCTTAGATTTGACCTGGGCGAGTTCCCATTTAGTAGACCAGAGAACCTACAGATAGGTCACAGAACATAAAAATTCCAGTCACTAACATCACAAAAGGATTATGGCTTTGAAAGTACTAGTCCCTCAATTATTTCTGTAAAACTCACAAACAAGACACAACAGTTGTACTGATTTTTATATACTTACTTTGTAAAGTGAAAGCTGCAAGCAGCTCTTCATTTTGGTTGGTATCTCTGTTATCTAGGGCCATGCCTTCATATATAAGGAGAAGCTCCAAAGAAGTATGTCCATGCCGAGGTTAGGCTTGGTCAGAATGTTTTTTTCTGCAGCATGCAGTGCCACTGTGCCACAGTGTAAGCACTCCCTATATTTACTCAGTTGTCTATCAAATAAACATTGCTCCAAGCAACAGTCAGAAAAGAGGAGGAGCTACATTGCAGTTTTGAGCTATTATCAGAGAACAGAGACATGTGGCTCTGAGCACAACAGAAATATGCAGCTGGCAGTTCCTTAGATTTAAAACCTTGCTTACAAAAATAAGCAGCATTGCAATTTTATTAGATTGTTTGCTGAAGTTGTGCTCCTAATTTACCCTCTTACTGTAGGTGTTCAGAATTCACCAAGTTCACACAAGATTAATCTTGCCCAGTTTTTCAAATATATATATGATTTCAATATATTTTAATACTGGTTGGCAGGCCAGGGGTGCTATTTTCTTAAGCATCTCAAAGCAAAAGTTCAGCAATGGATAAAGCTGATTCAGCAAAGCTACATAATTAGATATCAAAGGGGATGCATGCATTCTTTTTGTAAACAATTATTTCTAGCGTACATCATTGATCTATTTCTGCCAGACCTTTGTTTCATCACTAAAAAAAGATGCAGCATCCTGTTATGCAGTGGGTCTTATCGGTAATGTCCTAACATTGCTTCATATCGTGGCAATATGAGAGAGCAGAGAGGAAAAAAAGACTGTAGGAAGAACTGTTCAAATTTCAGTTCTTCACACTCTTGATAAACTGAAATGCTGGACTGCACGTCAAAAGGAGCTAAACTCAACTGGAAAGGCTGTAGAAATGCAGCCACATAAGATACTATACCAACTTTTGGGATCAGCATTTAGGAAAGATTCTGATGCATTTCATGATGCAAGACTAGTTAATACTTGAAAGCTTAAGGTTAGTGCTTTTTCTTGATACTACTTTCCAATATACTATTATGAAACAATTTATTTTTAACTAGCTAGGGATTCACTCAGGTCCTAATAGTTATTTAACCAAGAAAAAAGAAAATAACACAAAATAATTGACACTAGCACCACCACTCTAGGAGTATGAAACAATGGTCAATTTTAATCATAGCACTATATGTTGCAAATTCAAAATTTTCGGTACTAACACAATGCTGACTTATACATTTCTCTACACATAAACTGCTGGAAATATCTACAAGTAACTAATTATTCTTGGTCTGAAATCCACAATACAACAGCCAGAACTGCATTTGAGCACATTATGTTTAGAACACTTTCCAGCTGAAATAGAATCAAAGCTTCATACATGAAACCCTATTCAATCTGTCTTCAATAGCATCAATAACGTGGAGAGCAGGACTAGGGAGCAAGAAGCTGGTTGGTCTTTTCAGTAACAGCAAATTTGGGGCATGTTGGAAGAGACATATGAGGTACTTGTGGAGGTTTGTCAAACATACCTATAAGGCTCAGAAGGATACAGAAATCCAAACACACCCATAGTACACACAGTCAGTCATTACCGTATTTTTCACTCTATAAGACGCACCTGACCATAAGACACACCTAGTTTTTAGAGGAGGGATCCACGGAAAGCTTCCTGTTAATCACAGGCACATTCCCCATCACTTCCCCATGGGCTTCATTAAAAGACGGGTTGCCATTTGAAAACACACACCGACCTGTGATTAACAGCTCTCACCTGCGCTGGAGGAGGGGGGTGGAGCAGGGTGCGCCGAGCACGTGCCGGCCAGGTGTGGTGCAGCACGCCGGCGGTGGTCTTCCAGGCGGCACGGCAGCGGCAGGTCTTCCCGGGCGGTGGGGGTGAGCGGTCCGTCTCTCCGTGCGGCCGGCGGGTTAAAGCCCGTGGCTCCTCCTCGTCTGTGGCAGGTCTTCCTGGGCAGTGGGGGTGAGCAGTCCGTCTCTCCGTGCGGCAGGCGGGTTAAAGCCCGCGGCTCCTCCTCCTCCACGGCAGGTCTTCCCGGGAGGTGGGGGTGAGCAGTCCATTTCTCCGTGCGGCCGGTGGGTTGAAGCCCACGGCTCCTCCTCCTCCACACCGCTCCCCCTGAGTGGCACAGCTCTCACCTGCGCTGGAGGGGGGATGGAGCAGCGCGCGCCGAGAGTGTGCCGGCTGGGTGGTGCCACGTGGTGCAGGCGGGCAGGCAGCGTCCCGGGCGTCGGGCACACACACATTCGCTCTATAAGACGCACAGACATTTCCCCTTACTTTTGAGGGGGAAAAAAGTGTGTCTTATAGAGCGAAAAATACGGTAATTTGACAACTGCATTACAGCTTAAAGATTTATCAGAGCCCAGATAATAAAATGTTGTATAAGGCACTATTTAACTAGCACTTACAATGTTATTTAGATATAAATGAACATTGCACACAAATATTGCAAGGTTCTCATTTTGTGGATCTTGAACATAACCTATGGTCAATTGCTCAGGAATACCTGACATTTTCCCACAAGCCCAGTCACTGTTTAGCTTATGTTTACTGATGTTTTTGCCCTGTGTTGAAAAATGTGTTTGCTCAAGTATGGGCGTGGAGTTTTAAAACCAGAAACAACCATTGAACTCAAAACCTCAACTGCAGTTCCTTATACCAACAAAGGTAAACCTGCAATTTCTCAAAGCAGAAAGGACTTTTGTGTTCCTTGCAGGTTGACTTTAAATCTTCAACATCACATCTTTAATAGAACATTTTCTGGTCCTCATGTAATCCGTAATCTGTTTAATACTTCAACTGTACAGCATAGAACCCCATGAGACTGTTGGGTGACCTCAAAATCTGTTCTGGAGGGTCCCTGGACCCTCCAAAGGATTTTTTGAGGGAGGCACAGGAGAAAGTCCCACTTGTATGACACTGGATTCCTTTCATAAAGTTTATAGCATTATATACATTCTGACATTTTAAAATGCTAATTACCATGAGTGTTAGATCCTTTTTTAAATGTGGATTGTCACAACCTCCGCTCCTGGAATATGCCTCGTACTGGCATTTAGATAACATTTAGATACCATCCCCACTGAAGTGCAAGTATGCCATGAAACACACTCCAGCCTTATATACTGTATTAAGTGTGCAATTTATGACCTCTTGACATTGTCGGAGGGGACAGTGTGGGGAGCATAGGAGAAGCGGGAGTTCCAGCTCCAGTCTTAGAAAAATACTCCAGGGTTGGAGCTGGGACCCCAAATTTGGGGGAGAGGGGGGCTCCCTCAACCTTGCAGCTGACTCAGTTCTTTCCATGCTGGCTGAGGCTGTGAAGATGAAAATCCCTCTTCAAAGCTGAAGGGAAGTGAGGAGTAAGGTCCAATGTCCTCTGAAGAATCTCGGCAGTGCCTTATTTCTCTTCCTCCTGAGAATGGGAAAATGTTTGGATGGCCAAAACTGGTCATCTAAATGTTCTGGAGGGTGAGGGGGGCATGATGGCAATCCTAGCCTTCATATTCCTCCCATCTTTCACTGGATGCCTGTAATCCTATGAGTTCAGAGGGTAACAGTCAGCTACACTGGATGGCCCCATTATCAATCTACAGAAATTTAGTTTCAAATATGAATACTGCCATGAAGTCATTAACCAACAGCACCTGAAGGACATCATACCTTGTAAATGTCATTCCTGTAGGGCATTCAACTACTTTTAGAGACTGATTCAATGGGTTGCAATCCTATGCACACTTACCTAGGAGTTCACTGCCATGATGGGACTTACTTCTCATTGAACATGCAAAGAATTGTGCAGTAACTATATTGTATTGCATGCATACTCTGTACAATCTTTACAATGTTCCGGTCACTTTGACTCCCATTTTGTCCAATGTAAGTGAGAGCAAAGAAAAACTGAGGAAGGATTTAGGTACAGCAGTATAACCAGTGAAGTAGTCTGGCTACATTATATAATTCATTTAGATTTCTATGGAATCCTTAGCTGTAAGTAGAAATACTTACTCATGTAATGGAAAGTCTCCTCAGCAAGGGCTGGAGAAGTAACATCAGGGATGTGACTGTGACAGCCTGCAGACTGGATCCAATCATCATTTTCAGAGAGATATAAAGAGTCCACATGCAACTTATATTGAGGAAGCTGTTCTTCTAACATGCTCACCAGTTCTACTTCAGGAAGGTCTCCATTAGCTAAAGATATATACAGGTTTCATGACACAAATCAGTCTGGGGGTAAATGGTATGGGAACCATTAATTTCCCATGAGAAACAATTGCACTTTCAATAGCAAAAGCATTCATGACAGGCTGTCAATGTCAATTTAAAAACATCTACCAAACAAAGATTCCTAAAAAAAAATAGCTTCCTGGGTAACACTAAGTTATTGATACTGTTCTATTTTGAGTTGCTTGTCAGGTGATTAATAAAAGTGAAACTGATAGATGGAAATGCTTTTACGCTCAACTTTATACAATTATACAAAGTGACATAATTCTTTGGAGGTAAGTTCTGACAATTACCTATACCTTTGATATAAATTTGGGAACATACTTTTTTTGCAACTTCCGAAAAAGGACCAGGAGGCTACATTGATCCATGCTAAATCAATACCTATTCCACCTTTCAGTTCAATGAATTAAAACCATTCCAAAGCCTCTGTAGGAAAGTAAAAGTACTCTTCCACAACAACTCCATGTATACAGACCTGATCAAGAAGCTATGATTTTTAATCTCTTTCACTGATTTTTATATAGCTTCCCCCTCCCCTTAATTCCAGCTCTGAAGTTATCTTTTTTTTGACCCACTGGGGATGCTTGGGCAATTCTCTTTACTTATAGGAGGCCTTGCTGTGAGACAGCCTGTGCTTAGTAAGCTCCAAAAATACACTAATAAAGTCTGCAACTATTTAAGCATTTTTGAAAGCTACTAACACCATATTTAACTGTCTTTTCAACTTACCAGTAATGCTCTCTGGATCTCTGTGGTTGAAATTCATGAGGTTTGCTTCAGACTTCAATTATTTGAAAACCACATCCTGTACTCACATTCTATGTTGCAACTTTTCAATTTGGTTGAAAGATGGCTTTGGTTTAAAAGCAGACTAAGGAGCAGTCGTTAATTTATCTGGCATTATGAGAATTCTTGGCTTATTTTTGGGCTGGATGATCATTCAGGTCCAAGGACGACAACTTCAAAGCTTGTATCTCATCTGATATTATGATGTAGATGTTACAATCTTGCCTGGATGAGCCACCATCTTGAAAAGAATTAAAGAAATGGCTATTAAAATTGAGTTTTAGTTATTAATAAAAATGCTAAATTGTTTCTATAGAAGCACAATGGCAGGGTGGCCAGTACACTAATATTAGCATCATTAGATTCCACTAGGTTTTAAAAATACTTTCCGTATTTTTTGAAATGACAAATTAAGCCATAAAAAACTAAGGATACGTGGGTCAAAGGAAGGCACTATATAATGAATATATTGAATTTTAATTCTAATTGTAGTGAATTCTAATTCTATATCTGCTTCTATTCCCTTGATTTTCCTCCACTACAGTCATGGAATTGTCTTCAACTACGATATTTTCTATTGCTCCTTTTCCTTCTTTGTCCAGGCTAACAAATTCTCAAAGCCCAATTCAATTTTTGCCATATTATATATTCAGCACCATCAGCGGACATGAAACTTTACAGAGTCTAGGAGAAAATCCTGTTTGTTTTACAGCTAGGCATTTATACACCATGCCTTACTTTCTGAGGCAGAATCCTAGCACTGAAAATAGATTCTGAGGCTGAAGGTTGGCAAATCTTGGCTTAAATCAAACTGTAATATAATCAGAGGCAGTATAAGGAAAGTTACTTCATTTAGCCATGCTCTGCCTTTCCTCTTCTCTTTGCCACTGACCCCTAGGATTTACCAAAAATAAGTACTTGTCTATAATTCAGAATCTAAAAACCAATATAGAAGGTAGGTGTATCCAAGTGAAAATTGTTCTATTATCATTAAGCTCTTGGTTGTGTGATCAAAAAGTAGCTAAGCTGGATTCCAACATATAACCCCTCCCCCCCACCCCCAAAAAGCCACAGAGAAGTATCAAGATGGCAGTAGCTTTAGATCAAGGGTCCTCAAACTTTTTCACCAGGGGGCCAGCTGAAAGGTACCGCAGGTGGCATGAGCCAGAAAGGTGGTGCCTGCGGGGCACGCGGGCCGGCCCAGGAGCAGGGGTGGGGCATGCGGGCGAACATGTGCTGAGACAGGGCACACGGGCATGGCAAGATGCGGGCGGGCGTGAGGACGTGCAAAGGGAGGCAAGGCAAGGCGAGGCGGGCACACGCCGCAATGCAGTGGTGGGCGCACGATGCAGCGGCTTGCTCGCTTGGAGATCGTTTTCTCTGAGCGAGTCCTAAACGATCTCCCCGTGAGCAAGCCGCCGCCTCCGAGCGCGGGGGGGGGGGTGCGAGGCAGGCACACATGGCGTGCATGTGGCATGCGGGCGCACGCGCAGCGCATTAAAAACCTCTGAGGCAGGCCGGATAAATGGCCATGGTGGGCCAGATCCGGCCCCCAGGGCATAGTTTGAGGACTAATGCTTTAGATGAAGATGTTGAGCCTCTTAAATTTTGGAGAAACTCTAGTTTGCTACATACTAGATC